GTTGGCCATGCTGGCCTTAAATTGCCAACGTACACCAGAGATGGCTGGGAGCAATGGGTGGTCTAAGTTGTATGTAGTTGTCAAGCAGTCGGATGGAGCTCCGCGCCGCAAGGTGGTCTCTCCGGGCTTGGCATCGCGGTGCCGCTGAGGCTTGAACCGCCATGTAAACATGTTGAAGGTACTATTCTCCAACTCCTGTCATCAAACTTCCATGTCTTCTATTCTCCTCATTGGTTAATTGCTCAGTACCTAGCCACTGCTTGCTTTCTCTCTTGGCTTTGCTGATGTGAATTTTGAGTGCTTAAATAGCAAGTAAATCTATATTTTCTTACCTGAATATGGTGTCCCTGGCAGATGTCGCACATCTGCTCGCAACTGCCCCGTCATCAGCAGTTCTTCTACAGAAGCTTATGGAGCTCGAAGGAGACGTCAGTTTAGTTGGAGATGCCCATATGGCTAGCGACACTGAGTTCCTGAGCATATATTACTCGTCATACTTCTTTGCCCTTTTGCTTGAGGACCAAATGTCCGTTTCAGCACCCACTTCTATTTCGCTCTAGGCTAATTGTTCTTCTACAGTAATGAAGCACATATGCTAAGTCGCAGACTACCCGGGAGTCTTGCGAAAGAAGACCTTACAATACAAAGCACCTTATCCCTCCTTCGAGCCGTTTGGAACAATAACTACGAGAAGATCTACCGTGTCATCAGAACAACACAATGGCCACAGAGCATCAAGCAACTAACTCAACAATACCAATGTAAGTGTAAGAAAGCAAACCATCTCCCGTTTCATTTCGACAATTAACTGTTGCATACAGTATTCTTCCAAAATAAGACGTTTCACAATATCAGTCATGCCTACGGATCAATCCGACCTTCAGCTGCTGCTCTCTATTTAGGTCTTAACTCGGTAGAGGAAGATACAATGAGTGATAACGCAGATGGGACAGGCTCAGAGTTGGTTGCCCTGCTCACTGGGAAAGGCTGGGAATGGAACGCGGAATCGAAGCTATTCGCTCCGAAAGTGACAATGCCGGTGCCTGGGGTGACTGGTTCGGAAAGTGCGGCAATCAGAGAGTTGGTAGCACAATTAAGAAGTCATGGCGGTTGATGGATAACTGGCCTCTGAAAGGAGTCAAAACGATTGTAACGAGAAACGCGAACCGAGAGTCGAGAGTTGGGACACTTGAAACGAGAAACCGAGGATGACTATTGAGCAATTCTCTTGCTTGTGAAAGGATTGAGCTGTTCTGCTAGGCCAAGTGAAGAAAATAGGATCTATCACATAGTCATCAGTGAGCCCATCGACGTCAGCTGGAAGTGAACCTGTCAGAATGTCGGCAGTATATCCTTCCATCCCTCTTAATGGTAGCTACATATATTCATTCCCCATTAACCATTCTTGGCTACACGGCGTTTTCTGTTCGGGGAAGATCAAAAAACGTGGATGCTCAAAATCTGGATAGAATTTAAGTCGCCATCTAGGATATGTACAAGATAAGAACAGAAAAAAAAAAAAAAAAAAACCGATGACTACCTTTTTTATCGCTTTTTCTGCAAACAAAAAGAAACGGAGCTTAGTTATACGCTATAAGTAATACAAAATAGATATTCCAAACACACAGCTTGTTCGGATATATATGGCGCTCACTCATGTCCTTTTTACTCGGAAGTTTTTCAAAGAGTTTGAGCTGCTCCCTTTGTGCTGTTGAGTGCTGCGGAACATGGATCTTCATCGAGTTATTTCGTAGACAATGCGTCCCTCACAAGTCCTCCACCTCCGCGTGCGAGTTATTTTGGTGTGTTATTTCGCCATTTCGGCGAATTTCATATTTATGAACGCTTCAAGGTCGAATCTTTTATCTTCCGGATCGGTTATGACTAATCGTAGATAACCGTTAGCTATAGTTCACAAAACTGTAGGTATATAACAAACACAAGAGGAAAGGCATGTATTAATAGTTAATATAGCCATCCCATCCGGAACTTTGGACTTAAGAAATCATGTAATGTACCTCCACTACTCGTTGTTTTAACTTCTGCTGGCGCATTCTTCTTTGCGTATTCTGCCCGCGCTTGCTCAATCAATGATTCCTTGCGGCTGTATTCGCGATCTATCTGCGCTTGCTTGGCTTGTGAAGTGAGGGACGATTGGTGGAAGAGGCCGTAGACAATGCCTGCGCCAAGGGCGGAGTAACGTAGTACCTAAGAAGGAATCGTTTTTGATCAGCACGATGTTCGAACATATCTCGTCGATTCGCAGATTAGGGCGAGAGTGGACGGGAAAAGTGAAGTTTTTCCTCATAAAAAAGCTGGACATACGTTGACACCTTGCGAAGTAGCCATGGCAATTGTTCTGTATGGGTTCCAGCTAGAGAAGGAGAAATGCGAAGGGAGGGACTGCAGATGCGATAAGCGTCAGCTCTGACGTTACGGGACGGCTTGCGGGCTGTCAATGGTTTTTTGTTAATGTTGTTGATAGCGAGAGACCCGGCCTTGGGAGTGGAGGAAGTTCGGGAGGGCTGCTTACTAAGTGAAGCGCGGCTCCTTGTCCAACCCTCAACATCAAACAAGACAGTAAATAAATATATAAACACCATCCATCAGCCTCGTCAATACTACATGTACAGCCCCAGTCTCAGGGCACGGATATATGAACATGCAGCAAAGGAAGATGAAATTCTGGCCAAAGAAGGCCCAAGCTTGCTGAGCTGAAGGCGACAACGCGAATTGCGACAAAGGGAGTTTTCGCAAACCAGGCAGAGCATCGGAGAAGGGGGATCGGAGGTGAACAAGCTCCTAAACTTCCCAGCTCCTCGGATTTGCTCTGTGCTGACCCATAATACATTTGGCAGATCCTAGCTCCGACTCCCGGCCGTGCAGATAGCAGAGCAGAGCTCGATAGTTTAATCTCTCGGCTGGTCGATCGACCTTCATCTGCTGCCTTAAAAGAAGGTGTAGAATCTCCCAAGGGTCGAGGGAGTAGACCCAATTCTGTCCTCAGCGCCAGTCAACTGAGCGGGGAAATTCTCGAATCAGTGACGCCTCCAACTAGACCTGTGTCTCTCTCAATTGCAACACAAACCGCGCCTTTCCCCGCTGCCGAACCCCCCGCTGCTGCTGCGGTCCCGCCACCTAAACCGGAGGTCGTCACCTACAGCAAAGGTGTCCAAACAGACTCATGGACAGAACCCAGAAGCCGGTCCATTGACGGCAATTCTGGCTCAGAAGATGATAGCTCTCCCCCAACTTCACGTGCAAATAAACAGTTGAACCGGAGACAGCAGCGTGAACGTGATGAGGAGATTAGGGGGAGGTTACGAAAGGAGGTTGAAGAGGAGATACGATCTGCAAAAGAAATGGCAGGTGGGGGAACTACACAACAATCGACAGATATAAGATACCCATTACGGACGCTTACGAATGACGAGCTCAATGCGGTCACCTCGTCAAATGATTTCTTGGACTTCGTAGAGAAATCCAGCAGAGTTATTGAAAGAGCCTTGGATGAGCAATATGACGTCCTTACAGACTATGCGTTAGGTGGTGTTAGTGCAAACGGTGGCGGTGAGAATGATGAATATGGCAATGATAAGAAACGAAGAGGTATAGGGGAGCTTGTTCAGTTCTATGACGAACGATGGAGCAAGAAGCGAATGATCAGTGATATCAACTTTTCTCCAAAGGTGAGGCCTGTCCATGATATATAATTAGAAGGAGCCATATGGACTAAAATCGCTTTGTTGTATAGTTTCCAGAATTGGTACTCGCCTCTTACACAAATAACGTCACCGCACCCCATGATCCCAATGGAATAGTACAAGTATGGAATCTCCATCTCCATTCAAGACCAGAATACGTTTTTCACTCAATGTCCGACATCCTCACGGCGAAATTCTCTCCATTCCACCCAAACCTGATCGTAGGTGGCTCCTACTCCGGCCAAGTCCTATTATGGGATACCAGATCATCGCGTGCAGGGGGTGGAGCCCCCATCCAAAAAACCCCCTTAACCGGTTCCGGTCACACCCACCCGGTTTACAACATCTCCATCGTCGGTACTCAAAATGCTCATAACATCATCACCGCCTCTACCGACGGCGTTGTCTGCGGCTGGACTGTCGACATGCTCTCTCAACCTCAAGAATACCTTGAGCTCACCACACCACCGCCATCCAAAACAGAAGATCTCGCACCCACAACTATGACATTCCCCCAATCAGACCCAACCTTCTTCCTCGTTGGCACCGAAGAGGGTGCCATATACCCATGCCACCGCTACGACCGCGCAGGCGCCAAAGCAGGTACCGATCATCGACTCTCTTATCGCGGTCACGCCGCCCCCGTCATGTCCACTGTCTTCCACCCAGCCCGTGGTGCCATCGACCTAGGCGACCTGATGCTTAGCTCTAGCCTAGACTGGAGCGTGAAACTCTGGCGTGTACGAGCGCCTGCCGTCACCTCTACTTCACACACATCTGCCACCACACCCGCACAAGTGGTTTCGCCTGTCCTGGATCTGAACCGCGAAGACGTCGTGTACGATGCGCGCTGGTCCCCGCATCGACCTGGCGTATTTGCCCTTGTCGACGGCGCGGGGTCTGTCGAGGTGTGGGACCTGTGCACGGACACGGAGGTATATGCGGCGCGTGCAACGCCGACAAAGGCACGCAATGCGGTTATTGAGCAGAGTTTGAATAAGGTTGCGTGGGAGGAGAGAGATGGACGACGTCTGGCGACGGGTGGGCTCGATGGCGTGGTAACGGTGTTTGAGGTTGGGAAGGACTTGAGTGGGGGCCCTGATGAGGTGCCTGCTGAAGAGTGGTCGGCGATGAAGAAGCTTGTGGCAAAGTTAGAGCAGGGGAGGGATTAAGTACTTTTTCGATACCCCTTCTCTCCGTTCCCTTTCCTATGTTTTTTCTTCCCTTTCTTTCTTTCTCTTTTGTCTTCTAGTTACATTAATGATGAAAACATGGGAGGATTGCTAGCGGATATCTTTGTTAAGTGACTTTATGGTCTGCTCAATTTAGTTCCTTGTCTGGATTGTTCTGGCGTTCCCTCATCTTCTCTACGTTTCCTCTGTTTTTTCTTTCTAGACCGATTTTATGTTACATTTTCAACATGTTGCCTCTCAGGTCATGCTCTTACAGCGTTCCTTCTCCCCCTCCTTTTTCATTTTAAAGGATCACCTTGCATTATCCTTCAGAAAGCTGTCATAATTACGCCATAGATACCCATAATTTTCTAAACAATTTCTCTTCCTTTGCTCCTTTATATAGGATGACCAGCTCTAAATTATATTTTCTACAGAATTAGATCAAAATCGGGAAAACCATCACACTGTAACACCTCATGCGCTCAATATATATATATACACTCGTTCAGTATATGTGTATAATCAATGTATAAAACCATAAACGTATGCACTATGAAAAAATTTTGAAAAAAAATAAAAAGAAAATATAAGGAAATAATAGTAACATTTGTCTAAGCACAAATTCCGAGATTTAAATAGATTAATGCACCTTCATAAGATAGAAATAATGAAACGGGGAAGGAAATGAAAAATGACAATGAATGATCAATATGTGTAGTGAAACCCATCCTGTGAAAAGAAAAGCATGATTAGCATGGATGTTTAAATAGCAGAACGGATCATACGTACTCTGTATTTTGTACCACTCCCGCAATTATTTTCCCGCTTGCCTTTTGTTGTCGGTTCATGACACGGAAGTACACAGAGAACATGATTACTATCACAAGGATAAGAATGTGCGAACTAATGGTAGTTTTCGGCAGGTGTGTTATTTAGTCCGAGTTAGCCCAAAGTGGCGCGGCCCCCTCCCAACCCCCCAAAAAAAACCGAGGGAGACATTTTCCCCTATCCTATCCATAAAAAATCCACACCCGTTGTACCGACACAATGTGATATAATCGTAACTCGCAATATCTTTCATAGTTTTCTAAAATGAAATAAAGAATGAATAAATGAATGAAAACTCACCCAATAGAAACCCAAACCGCTGTCTCATATGTCGGCGGCTCACTGGATTTCACAATAAAGCTCCCCGCAATGCCTCCCAGGCCATTACAAGCCGTCACAGAAGCCGCCACGGTAGCCCGCTTCCATTGCCCAACAATATTGTTCGCTTGGTAAGCGTTCAGGGCTGCCCAGTTGGAGACGTACGCACCTGTGGCGAGGAATATGCCGATATAACGGATCCGTGACTTGCTGCGAGGCTGGCAGGCCAAGCATTAGGAAGCCTGCAATTAGGCTGAGGGAGTTGAAGACGATGAGGGGACCGCGGAGGCGTAGTTTATCCCCAAGTAGAGAGGTGAGGAGGACGGGAATTATGGCATAATAGTAGGGCTGGTATTGTCGTTAGCTTGATGTTGCCCTAGTACTATGTGAGGTTGGGAAACAACTAACAGGTGCAGATAATAGAATCGACTTATCCGTATCAAAGCCCATGCCTCCTTGAAGGATTATTGGCAGGAAGTACGAGAGCGAAGTCGAGACCAGGTTCAACAGAAAAGAGAGACAGCTGAATCCGTACAATTTAAAATCGAGAAAATAGACCAGGATCTTGGATATAGAAAACGGCTCGGGAATTGTATCCTGCCTATCATTATGGATCCTCCCCGTCGCTATATCTGATTCCGTCTTGGTAAAGAAACGGAAGCTATGATGTGCATTTTCTGGAAAATCGATCATCCACCAACATGTGATGATGCCAAAGAAGATTGTAATCAGTCCGTTCACCAAGAACATCCATCGCCATCCCTCGAGTCCAGATCTGCCGCCAAGGAGATTCAGGCCATAATTCATACTGTTCCCAGAAGCCAGGAGTGAAACCTCCCAAGCCTGGAGGAAAGCAAAACGAAGCTGTTGCTCTTCGCGCGTATACCAGGTGCTGATCAAATATGTCAGTCCAGGGTACATTCCGGATACGGACATGCCTAAGAAAAACCGGACAACAATCATTTGCCTCCAGTTTTCTACGAAAGTTGTGCACAAGGTAATCACCCCGAAGCAGATAGTGATCAGAGAGAACCATTGCCGGGGCCCGACTAAACGCACTGCGACAGTCGATGGAAGCTGAAAGATAACACTGGCGATGGTGAAGATGAAGATCGCCACGGAATATCTGTTTCCCTCCAGTGATAGATCGGTCATCATGCTAGTTACGGAGGCTGAGGAAATGATGCCGGAATCCAGGAAATTCAAACTGCACAGGATTCCAGCAATAGTACACAGGCGGATATCTACCTTCAAGCGCAGTTTTCGCTCCCAATCCATCTGTGTTCCTCCCTGTTTATCATTTCGCCGCCAGCCGCGACGGCGGCAATATTGTCTCCCCCACACCCCCCCTCCACTGGCCTTTCTGTCAACGTAACCCCACCGGAGCTGGGCGACTGCAAACCCATCTACAAATAAAAAGCGAATGGTGCGTTTTGGGGGTAGCTGAAGAGTTGTGTGTGAGAATCGTTGTGTTATTATAGAAGGTAACTTTTTAGCAGGTGTCCGGTCGAACCGGTCAAGCTTCCTAGTGGAAAGGCCGAGGTCCGCAAAATCAATCCCGAGTCGCCATTCCTGAGAGAGTCCATAGTTATCGTTAGCCAAGATATGAACCGTCGATAGAGCCATAAATCAACCCTCCGGGGAATATACCAGCAGCTGAGCTGGGAGAAACTGATCTGCATAATGGGTCAAACTATGCTGATGGCATAGCCTGAAGTCCATATCAGCTGGGCTCGTAGAGAATACATGAGAATACGGCTGTAGGCCGATTGACTCTGGGTCAAGTTTCGAGCTCCAGAAGTACCTTCCAGAAAGCATTTGCAGTTGGTATTGTTTTTTTATCAACTTTGTATGGCGGGTGAATTCCGCCATCGTAATTAGTCAGCCGAACCTCATCCCTTGAACATCAACAACCCTCTGGGTAGGGTCCGAGTTTAATCGCGAAACCCACCAAGAGCACACTGCAGCTTCGCCAACAGCTTCCAAAACTCTTCCAGCCACGCGCGCTTACTCGCATTGCCAGGCGGCTGCAGGCATTTAGCCATCCAGTGCCGTCTTAGACCCGCTCTGTTCTACGTCCTTCTCGGGCAAATGGAGCCTAAAACACGCCCGGTGCTTCGCCTCCCCTCCATGGCTCCAAGCGGGATCCCCCCGACAATATCGTAATAAAAAGGAGAAGTGAAGACCAAGAATAGAATGCGGCCCGTGTTCGCATTCTTCTGCTTACTTCTTCATCGAGGTGCTTGAATCCTTATTAATTCTGTTACTCTTTGACCTCTCGGTTTCGAATTCTCCCTCCCGCCAGCGCCACCTTGTGACCCCTCCCCCTTCTTGGCCTAGCTGGTTTCTTGAGAAACCACTGACTGAAACGTATATTGTTTAGTTGGTTGTTGTCCTCCTCGGAATCTTCAACCAAAAAAACACGAAGTCCGGAAATAATGGTCGAATACATTCCACCCCCTGATCCTCGAACCCTCATTCCTCCTCTCCTCGCCTGCATTGCTACTGCGTTTAGCTCTCCCAAGCCTCCTCCCGCGCTGCTGGCATTGATTTCTCCAATCCTTCGCCAGCGCGTACAGATCCTCAGCTCTGTTTCACAGTCGCCTTCGGATTCATGGCTACGATTATTATGTTGGGATGCTGGGAAAGCAGAACGGTTGCAGAACATCGTTGAGGGTGCTACGTTTGAGCCACATCCCGTTTCTGGGGAAATTGAGATCCCCGATGACGTCCCGATTACGTATAAGCGGTTAGACACGGAAACTCTTCGATCGCACCTTCCCATCCCCGACTTTAATCTTTCGGCGTTGTATGTTTGGTGCCCTGTAGATTTAGAAGGCAGCGGACCAGGTTGGAGGGTTGCAGAGGTATTGCCAGGAGATGCTCTGCAGGAGGAAGCAGGCAGCTGGTCGGGATCTATTGGAGAAGCTGATGAATATCGGCAGGTGAAACTTCTACGGGACGCATTACAAGAAGCAGAGGATAGTGAATCTCATAAGGTGGCTTCGAAGATTTCCCAAGGTCATGTGGTGGAACCGGAGAATGAAAAGGAAGATGAGGATGATGATGACGGTTACTGGGCGCAATATGACAATACCCCAGGCAAGACACCGTTAAAACGATCTCCCGCACCAATCCAGTCTCAATACAATGGCTTTGGTCCAGGTCCATACCCAACTTCCTCGGACTCTTACTTCGCCAGATACAACAGAGTGCAACCGGCGTTAGATAACGATGACCCGGCCGTTGACCAAAGTGAGCTAGGACAGTCGACATTGAACGGTGATACCATTACTTCTATCCTCCAACAGCAGTCAGAGGTGGTGCTGTCAGAAGCACCAACTGGTACCGCACTGTACGATGACGGCAAAGAAGACTATGACTCTCTCGCGAGGTCCCGCGTTCTTTTGAGCCACCCCAGGCCTTCTTCAGCATCTTCCTCTGGCGGCTCGGAAACAGTCAGCAAACTAGAAAAGACGGCGGAAAGCCAATCTCTTTCTGAGATTGGAGTGAAGCAACACATCTCCTCGAACATAAAGAGTCTCTTTAGGTTGGCGCGGGCGACCGGGTTGTCCAGAGCGGAGTTTGAATCGATCGTTAGGAGGGAATTGGACTGCCTCGCTTTGACAGATGTGGATAACTATGATGAGTGAACGGGGCGTTCATTTTAGGAAGTTTTCGTATCTTGCGCGTCTTTCATTGCGGATAGCGTTCTGTACGCATTCATATCATATCATATACATCTGGCGGAGTTCAAATGTAAATACGTCACTAGTTG